TAAGTTTATGAACATACAAATTAAACTAGCATTCCCAACTTTCCGTATCGAGAAATTCCTTCTAAAATCATTTATTTAACTTTTAAAATATTCAATACAGTTCAATGTAGAAACTGCGAGAAATAAGGTTTAATTATACATTCAAGTGAAATACATGTAATAATATTTGATATTTATTAATAATGAATTACATACAAAATATTTTTATTTAAAAACTAAAGTTATTTATATTTTAAAAACACTGTCTATTAATTAATTTCTATGAGTTAATACAAATTAATATAACTTTAAGCAATAAGTTAATAATTATTTAAAACCTCTTTTGAAACTTAAATATAAGTTTGTGTTTGGGTTCTAATGCTAATCCAAAATCTTCCTCCAGAGTCAACATCTCATCATTTGCTGCACTTATTGTGTATTTCTGGAGAAGTGATACGAAATACAGGAATACATCCATTCGTGCCAATGACTCCCCAACACAATTACGTTTACCTATAAGCCAATTAATACCATGATTATTTAAGTAATTAATTAATTATTATTATACAATATATCTTACCCATTGAAAATGGTATGAAGGCATCGATTTTAAGCAATTCTTTGCCATCACTTGTGAGGAATCGATTTGGATTAAAGTCTTGCGGTTTATGCCATACTTTGGGGTCGTTATGAACGGCCCATATATTGGCCATAACTGTAGTATCTTTTGGTATGAAATGACCCAAAACTGTTGTGTCCTCTAATGCTCTGTTATATATTATTTATATAATTATATTAATTATAATATATATTAATAGCTATCGTAATATACAGTACACCATACCTTCTCCAAGGATTCAATGGTATTGTAGTCTTATATCTCATCACTTCATTAATGAACGCCTGAGTGAACGGCATATGAAGTCTGTCGGCATAACAGGGACTCCGATCTCTTCCGACCACAGAATCGATCTCTGAGTGAATCCTCTTCTGGTGTTCGCTGTATTTGGCGGACAATAATAGCAACCATTCAGTGGTCGTCC